TCGGTGTGGTCAGTCTTTTCCATTTTAGTCATTTGGGCATCACCCTGTGGTCTTCATTTGCATTCCCCTGATGACTAATGAACTCCTTCTGTGTGCTTATTTAGAATATCTTTAAAGGTAGCTCCTCCCCCCTTTCACTGCCCTGTGGCTTTCAACCTCCAGTATTTGAAAAATTGTTGAATAAATGTGCAAGGGAAAGACTGATAGCAAAATCTAGAGATATGAAGAGCTCTACAAGTACAAAGGCAAGCATGCGCTCAGCCTCAGAACCCCTCCCTTAATTTTCATTTCCCAGGACTGAGCGGCTAAGGACACGCTTGTCTTCTGAAGAAGTTAAGATCATGGCTGACCTGGGATCCATGTTTGCCGGGGAAGGCGGGGAGAGGGGGGATGTTTGTTTGTTTGTTTGTTTGTTTGTTTGTTTGTTTAAAGTAGGCTCCATGCCTGATGTGGGACTCAAACTCACAACCCTGAGATCAAGAGTCTGAGCCAGCCAGGCACTCCAAGGTCAGAATGTTTTAATGAAAAATTTATCTGGTTGAATAATCATTTTCACTGCTACCGTTTATAAACTACCCACTATGCTCCAGGCACCTCATACACATAAAGCATTGTCATTTTTTTAAAGACTTTAATTTTTAAGTAATCTCTACACCCAGTGTGGAGCTCAAACTTACAACCGCAAGATCAAGAGTCATACGCTCCACTGACTGAGCCTGCCAGTTTCCCCCAGCATGTCTAATTTTTTTAAAGTTTTTCGGGTTTTATTGTTGTTTTTTTGGTTTTGTTTTGTTTTATTTTGTTTTGTTTTTTTGAGAGAGACAGAGAGACAGAGAGAGGTAGCACAAGCGGGGGGGAGGGGCAGAAGGAGAAACAGACTCCCCACCGAGCAGGGAGCTGAATCTGGAGCTGGATGCCAGGACCCTGGGATTATGACCTGAGCCGAAGGCAGACGTTTAACTGACTGAGCCACCCAGGCGCCCAACATGTCTAATTTTTACAGTTGCCCTGCAAAGTTATTATGTGATCTCCATTTGGTGGACTCTGAAAATCAGAGATGTAAATTCCTTCAATAACACCACACAGCTACACCTCCACACACACGCACACAATGGGATAGCATTTACCCCTAAAGTGCAATGAATGCTACACTTTGCTACAATGTGGATGAACCTCAGAAACTCATGCTGAGAGAAAGCAACCAGACATAAAAGGTCACGCACTGTGTGATTCCATTTGTATGAAATATCCAGAATAGGTAAATCTATACCTATAGACAGACAGCAGACTGGTGGTTGCCAGGGGCTGGCGGAAAGGTGAATGGGGAGAACCTGTTAAATGGGTATGAGTTATTCTTTTGGGGTGACAAAAATGGTTTGGAACTAGATGGAGGTGGTAGTTGCACATCATAAATTTATTTTTTTAATTAAAAATTTTTTTAAGATTTTTATTCATTTATTTGAGAGAGAGCATGTGTGTATGAGCTCAAGCCGGGGGAAGGGCAAAAGGAGAGGGAGAGGGACAAGCAGACTCCACACTGAGCCTGGAGCCTGACACTGGGCTTGATGTCATGACCTTGAGATCATGACCTGAGCCAAAACCAAGAGTTGGAGGCTTAACTGACTGAGCCACCCAGGCACCCCCATCGTAAATTTAACCAATGCTTTACAATGGCTAATTTTATGTTATGTGAATTTACCTCAGTATGATTAAAACAGCAACAACTCCACCCTACAGTCTCTCCCTCACTGATGAGTGTAATTTTGCCATTAGTGATTTAGTTCTTTGGATAGCGAAGCCTCCAGCACCTGCACCCAATCTTTTCTCCCCCAGAAAATTCCCCATGAGAATTCCAGGGCAGAAATGGAGGAATCAGCAACATGGCTCAGAGGGTAGGCACTGGAGTCAGGTTGCCTGAGTTCAATTCCAGATACCTTCATACCCCCATCTGTAAAATGGGGATGATAATGTTACCAACATCATGGGGTTGCTCTGCGGACAGAATGAAATCATTCATGTAAAGTATCCGCACAGGTGTCATGTTTATTCACTAAGCTATATTGTTAGGGTGGAGGCCACATTTCCCTACCATCAGCCATACCATAAATATTTATTGAGCACCTATTACACGCCCAGCACTCTTCTAGGCCCTGGGGATTCAACTAGGAGCAAGAATAACAATAAAGTTCCTTCTTGGAGTGTAAGACAGTAGACAAAGGAAGTAAAATACACAGTATGTTAGCTGATGGTATAAGCTGAGGAGAGAAAAAAGTGATGAGGAACAGGAAGTTTGGGGGAGAATTTGAAACCGGCTGGCTACAGGCGGCTTCCCTCTGTAATGACCAGAAAGAAGTGAGGTATATTCATTTCTAACAAACCTCATGACTTACACAACACAAATGTCATCCTTTACAGTTCTTGAGGTCAGGAATCCAAAATGGGTCTCACGGGGCTGACATCAAGGTGTTAGCAGACCTGTGTTCTTTCTGAAGGCTCCAGGGGAGAATCTATCCTCTTGCTTTTTCTGGCTTCTAGAGGCCCCACCTTCCTTGGATTGTGATCCCACATTATTCTACCTTCTCCTTCTGTCATCACATAGCCTTCTCTTTGACTTTCCTCCTCCCTCTTGTACTCATAAGGACGTTAGTGATGACACAGGGCCCACCTCAATCACCCAGAATAATCTTCCCATCTCAAGATCCTTAAATTAATCACATCTACGAAGTCCCTTTGTCACAGAAGGTAACATGGTCCCAGGTTCGGGGACTGGGATATGGACATCTTTGGGCGGCCCATTATTCTGTCTCCCATATGAGACATGGTACCTCGAAGAAGTGGGAAGAGCAAGTTCAAAGGTCCTGAGGCAGGGCTCTTCTGGCATGCCTGAGGAAGCTGGAGACCAGTGAGGATGCAGTGGAGTGGGCAAGGGCAGCATGACTTCTCACAAGAGCAGAAAGGTGAAGGAGGTGGAGTGGCTCTTGCAGGCCTTTGTGGGTCTCAGTGGGGACTCTGATCTTTCCATGAGTGAGGTGGGAGAAGGTGAGGGACATGGTCCTACAGGTTTTACCAGGATTGCTTGGGCTGCGGTGTGGACAAAGGACTACCTGTGAGGAGGCTGCTGCAGCCTCCAGGTGAGAGGCTGGGGGCTGGGCTGAGGCCACAGAGGGAAGCGGTGAAACAGGTCTCCTTCTGGATTTTGAAGGTCAAGTCACAAGGAACCACTTAAGGGTCAGAAGTGGAGAGGCGCTATAAGAGGGGAGTCAGGCATGAGTCCAAGGTTTTTGGCCTGAGCAACTGGAAGAATGAAGATGCCCTTTAAGATGGGGATGACCGGGGTGCCTGGGTGGCTCAATGGGTTAGGGCCTCTGCCTTTGGCTCGGGTCATGATCTCAGGGTCCTGGGATCGAGCCCTGCGTCGGGCTCTCTGCTCAGCAGGGAGCCTGTTTCCTCCTCTCTCTCTGCCTGCCTCTCTGCCTACTTGTGATCTCTGTCAGATAAATAAATAAAATCTTAAAAAAAAAAAAAAAAAGATGGGGATGACCACAAAAAGCTCAGACTTGGGACTGCTGCTGAGAAATCTGGAATTTGCTTTGAGATGTGTTGGGAACCCAGACGGAGAAAGGAGAAGTCGGATATGGGAATCTGAAGTTCAGGACTGGGATCTGGAGGGATTTGCTTGGGGGACACGAGCAGGTATGTAGGTGGGATTTAAAGTCAAGAGTCTGGATGAGATCTCTAAGGGCTGTGTGCAGAGACGAGAAGACCAAGGACGGAGACCTGGTGCCCCTCTGATGAGGAGCAGCCAGTGATGCGGGAGGGAAACGACATGAAGGTGGGGTCCTGGCAGTCAGGAGAGCCAAAGGCTGCAAACTCTGTCCACAGTAAGCATGACATGAGGGGCTGGTGGAGCAGAGGATGACCCTCTTGCTTCCAAGGACTGTTCTCTGGCAAACAGCCTCTACGGGAGTTGGACCTACTGAAGCAGCCTTATTCTTATGAGCCGGAAGCTGTCTCCCCTGCTGGAGGCTGGAGTAGGTCCACCCTCCCAGCATGATTTCCCTCTGGTCTCACCTCCAGCGAGGCTTTAAGACTCCATTCAGTCACTTTTCCTCTGCCAGGTGGCTGTGCTGATCACCCAGATGGAGCTGGGTGTCCCTCTGCTCAGCTTCCACAGGATCGGCTGCTCCCCTGTTGGACAACTCCCCACCCCAAGCCTCCTTCCATGTCTGAGTCCCCCACTGGGCTAGGCACACTGGGCTAGGCAAGCTTCCTTCTTTCTACATCCCGGGCGCCTCGCTGGTGCTCTCATTAAACATCTGGCCACGCCTGGTCCTGCTTTGCCGAAGCTCCAGTCCCTAGACTTCCCAGACCTCAGTGGGGCCCCTTAAACACACTGCGCCTACAGACACTCACTGAGTGTTAAATACCAAGGAAAGGGCCGTGGACTTGGACCCAAGCCTGACTTCTGGCACTTTCAAGTACTTTGGACTTCAGTCTCCCATCTCTAAAATGGAAGTCCTACAGGCTCCTCACTGGTTGTGACGACATTTGGGAAAGTGTTTGGCAAACTGGAAAGCAGCCCAGCAAATCAGTTACTAGAGCTCGAGCCTTTTCCTTGGCAGCTGATTCAGGACACGTGACCAGACCTGCGTGACCCACCCCACGCCATGTGAGGCCTTCTAGCTAGTTTTTTCAAGCTGCTTGGAGGACAAGCAGCGTCCTCCTCTGGCAATGGGAACTGGAGAGCGAGTGGGGCCCAGCCCTGGTGGAAACTCTCACACACGCACGGACATTCATGAGTGTTTCCAATGACTAAGGGCCACATGAAGCCGTTGGCTGGACCCTTCCTGAAACCTGTCCCAGAATGGTTCGGCCTGCAGCGCTGCTCTGACCATCCTCGGCCCTACTCTCCCACTTCTCTGGGGGTGAGCCCCTTGCCTGCACCCAGGGAAGGACCCCGAGCTCCCCCTCTCCCTCAGCAGCAGGTAACACACAGGGCATTCAGCATATGAGGCAGTTTATTGATGTTTACTTGCCCAGATGACTTTTCCTCACTGTTCTGGGGTTGAAAGAACTGGGGGAGGGGAGGTATACAGATGGAAGCCAAAAGGCACATACTGAATGCGCCAAGGTGGGCTGAAAAGGGGTTGGTCTGAGATGGACAAGGCCCCCATTTCAGAGGCTAAGAGACTTTGGGCCCAAGCACATGTACTCATACAGCCAAATCCCTTCCATCTGCCAGAGGAGAACCAGGCACCACCCTGGCCAGCTTTCCCGTGGGTTCCCCCGCCAGCTTCGGACCCAGCTGTTGCGCTGAAGGGACCGCCTACATCACAGCGGCCATGGCATCTGGACCTGAACACACAGGGCAGGGCTGGCCTGGCTCCATCTGTACAGCAGGGACGAAGGTGGCTGACGAGCAGATCTGTGGCGCCTGCGTCACGGGGGGAGGGTGGTGCTTGTCGGCATGAGATCACGACTCTGAAATGCAGCGTGAATCCACAAGTGGGGGGCTGAAGGCTGGGCACAGTGATTAAGTATGGAGCTGACCCAACGCTGAACAAACAGACTGCTTACACAGCCTCTGCTCACAGGGTGTTCTAGTCCCCTTAGCTCTACACTGTCACGGAAGCAGAAGGAAGAGGAAGTGGTGGGCTGCCCGGCTGGGACCTGGGGACTGTCACGATTGTCCAAATCTCTGTGCTCAGAGAGCGGCCCAGCCACTTCAGCCCTGACCCTGGGACTGAGGGAACAGGACATTGAGTCCCAGGAGGGCTGGCCCCAAAGGCCCCTGCCCTACCAGTGGCTCTGCAGGCCTCCTCTTCTACCGCTTCTTCTTGGCCTCCTTCTTGGGCCTTTTGCTGGCAGAAAGAACAGCAGCCTTGGGTTTCCTTGTCACCTCCGCACTTCTGGGCTCAGAGGGCTCTGCCTCCTGTGTGGCGATAGAAAGGAGAGTCCTGTTTAGACGAGTCAGCCTGACACCAGCAAAAACGAGACTGTTGTCTGAAGGGGGCTTTGCAAACTAAAGCACAGGGCCCCAGAAACACCAGGAATGGGAACTGTCATTGCTGGGACCCAGGAGCCTCAGGTGGATGGGGCTGGGGGCTGCTGGGCGGGGGGTGGTAGAGGAGCCCCCCCCCCCCCCATGAGCAGGGCAATTCCAAATGAAGAATAAAGAAAGAGGCCCCAAAGGAGGAGGCAACCTTTGGAGCCTTAGAGGCCAGAGGCAGGGGCGGGGGGGATTGAGGCACCTCCACAAGCCAGCCAAGTGACCTGTGGGCAACTCACTTCCCCTTCCTGCATCTTGGTCTACCCAGCTGTGAAATGGAAATCGTGATGCGTGCTATCAAGGGCTGATGCGTAGATAGTGCCCAGCAGCCGAGGCGGCACCCGGTGTGCTAGTACCAGTCAGAGCACCAGTGAGGAGCCGGCCAGCCCCAGACCCACTGAGGCTCGCTCTCCCTCCAGCCCTACTGTCCTCTCCTCCCATTCAAGCCACAGCACGCCAGGGCTGGGAGGGGTGGGGAGCACTGGCCTGCAGCTAGGCAACCACTACACTGTGTTCTGTGGGGCCCAGTAGAGGCGCCCCGGGGGGGAGGGCAGAGGGCAGCCTGGGGGCAGAACTCCAGACTCTCCCGACAACCTGGGCAGCCCTGATTTTTCTGTCTGTCCCACTCCATGTAAGATTTGGTTTGTGCAGAGGCTCTGCTGCTTTAAAAACAGATGCAAAAGCACAGACCTAGCCCTGGCCTTCACGGCACAGTAAAGGTCTCCAGGAAAGGGACTCAGCCTGCCACAGCCACAAAGGCTCATGTCAGAGAAGAATCTGGACAGGACTCAGTCCTGTCAAGTGTTCCCTGCCCTCTGGGGGTAAGTGCCACTGTGCCTTGGTCAGGCAGGATATTAGTGTGGCATGTCTGGCCTGGAGAACACTGACCACAGCCCCCAGGCCTCCTCTGGCCCCCAAGTGGACTTCACTTGGCCTACAGTGTTTATATTTAAAAACTTGAGCCAACTGGTAGATCTCCCATTCAATCCAGACTCCTAGCTTTTCTTGAAAATGTTAAATGCCTGGCAATGGCAGCCCCTTTATTCAGGTGCCCACACTAGCCCCCCACCCCATGGCCCCAGCACTAGGATAAGGAAATGCTTCTCGGCATCTGTGTTCTTTTATTAAAAATGGTAAAATAAAAAGCAGACAAAGAATACTAAGAAGGAGCACACTTCTGGAAGAGAACAGTATTTCCTCAGTTAAAGTGGCCGACTCCCAGCCTGCAGCTTGCTTTGCTCCCTATCCTTCCCAGGGCTGGCTCCTCAAGCCCGCAGGCTGACCGCAGAGACGCGATCGTGGCTGAGGAGGGGCAGCCCACACCTCTGGGGGGCCTACTCCCGAGATGCGTCAGCCCCCCTTGTCACTGCCTCCACTCCACCCTGCCAGCCTGCCAGCCTGCCCACTGAAACCTCAGAATGTAAAGGCCCAGCCCAGCCCCAGGTACCCACAGGTGATCTTCCCAAGATAACAAGGGCGCCAGCCCTCCCCAGCCAGGTCTCTGATGGCAGCACTGGGCTCCATGGCCTGTCAACCCGGGCCGATACTTTAATGTAACTTGGCAAAAAAAAAAAAAAAAAAAGTAATAAAGAAAGAAAAAAAAGAAAAAGAAAAGAAGAAAGTTAGCCCTTAGAAAGCTAAACAAACAGAACCTCAGAGAAGCCAGCGTGTCAAGTGCACAGGCTGAGCACCCCCACCCCCAACCGCAGAGCACAGCAGTAAGGCTACTGTTTAAGGCAAACCCCACAGGGTGCAGTCTTGGGAGACCTTGGGAACTGGAAACTGTCCCCAGGGCAGTGCCCATGAGGCCAGTGCAAACCGGCCAGTTCCTGAGTGCCCGAGACAAACAGGCCCCGATGAGATGAATGGTTTCCGCGCAGGAACTTGCCAAGCATCTCCAGAGCTCCCGGCCCTCTAAATTCAAAGCTGAGTGCCCCTCCGGTTTCAGTGGGGCTCAGTTCAGAATCCACAGGGACGGTGACACTAGCCTGCCAGCCCCAGGGCTTCCCTCATTCCACAGTCCCTCTCTTAGGTGCCTGATCCATTCTGATACCTCCCCACCCTCTCTCCTGAGCACACGTTTTCCTGACCCAGCTATCTGTCAGACAACTGGACTAGCATCCTCCCTGGGCACCTCTAATTCCACTGTCCCAGACCAACCAAAACCCCTTCTCCAGCAGACCAGGTCCTCCTCCCCACCGGTCTCTCCTCCCAATGGTCCAATCAGTCACCACGTCCTGGGGTTCAACCCCATCTACCTCTTGACTTGGTCACACTCTCCAGCACCTAAGTCCTCCACTGCTAACGGACCTCCCTGCTCTGTGCCACGCCTCATGCAGATCCCCCCCCCACCAACGTTAAACCTTCCAGGGGCTTTCCATCTCCCACAGCCTCATGCCCCACACAAGGGATGGCATCTAAGGAGCCCACATCTCCAGCTCTTCTGGCTCTTCTCCAGACCCCACACTGGGTCAGCTGCCAGGATTTCTGCTGGTCACCTCTAACAAGAGAAGCACCCTTCTTGGCCACCCAGCAAACCCCTCCCTGTGATTTGGCCCTGCTAAGAATGCACTCCTACTCACTGTCTAGCCTTCCTCCTCTGCTCTCCACCTCCAGCAGGGGGCATATCCCTTTCCCCAGCCCTACCCCTACCCCTGGTACCAAGTAACCACCCGTGCCACATTACACATTATCAGTGACACATTCTCCTGCTGGTCTCCCCTACTAGCTTGTGCGCTCCCTGAGACAGCTTCAACTGTGAATGAATGAATGAATGAATGAATGAATATGGAAGATCAGGCAAGATCTCCCATAACCATGGGAACTTCACTCTGGTTTATCATCATGAAAATAGAACACTTAAGGGCGCCTGGCTGCTTCAGTCGATGGATGGTGCGACTTGGGATCTCAGGGTCATGAGTTCGAGCCCCATGCTGAGTGTAGAGATGACTTAAAGAAATATTTACAAATATATATATATATATATATATAAAACACTTGGGACTAGGTCTCACTTTTCCCATGGGCACAGAGGACACCAGCAGATGTCAAACCCAATACATATTCCCTAAAGTGTGGCTAGGCACAGCCTCCAGTAACAAGAACCACACCGGCTGTATTTACAACGTGCCAGGCCCCAGGCGATGTGCTATGGACCCATTTTATTTTAGCCTTGCAAAGTACCGTGCTGAGTCCCACCGGACAGACGAAAGAAGAAACACTCGGAGAGATTATGTGACTTGCCTAAGGTGTCCATGAGTGAGCAGCAGTGCCAGGACGTGAACCTCTTAATGGTTATAGGGTAGAATAGAGTGTGTCCCAGGTACCCTAGGGAACTTAGGGCTGGAGACCAAGACCCCAAGTTCACTGACAATCCACCCTCTCTTTAGCAGCACCTGGAACCACAGGCCGTACAGATGACGGGAGAACGACAAGAACAGCCCGTTCTAGATTCTGCCAATGGGTTCTTCGGACCACTTGTTTGTGACCGCAGTTCCGACAGGAGTCAGGAGAGTGGGTTAGTGCTCCCCGCGCAGGGCTCTGTTTTTCACAGCTGAAGGCAGCTTTCCGTGGGTGTGTGTACATATTATAGTCATCGAGTCATCTGAGCGTATTATCTGTCTCCTCCTCACCCCAGACCTCCTCCTCCCTCCCCCACCTCAGTTTTTGGCATCATCACTCACCCAGTTACCCAAGCTAGAAACCTCCAAGTTGTTTCTGAGTTCTCCTTCCCTCGTGCCCCCACACCCAATGTGCCCCAGGTCCTGCGCATTCTACCCTCCAAGGGGTTCTCGACTCCACCCGGCCCCTCTGGATACACACTACTACGCCAGGCCAGACCCCATGGTCCCCCGCCTGCCCCCTTGCTGTGTCAGCCTCCCCGACATTCTCCTCACCGTCCGTCCCACTGCTTTCAGTCTATTCTAAAACAACAGTCTTGACTGTGTCTATCTGCTGCTTTAAATGTGTTTCTGGTCCCCCCTTTGTAGGAGACAAATTTCTAAGAGCTTCCCTGTGGCCTCCAGTCTCCTGGCTCTCCCCTCATGCAGCCCACCCTGTCTCACCAGGCTATCGGCCCACTGGTATTGCCCATGTGCTTTGTTCCCTGTCCTGCTCTGCCGGGGTCCCCAGCCCTCCCACCTCTGTATGTACACCCAGTGGAGGCAGTTTTGTGCCAGGCGCCACAGGGTAACGACGACAACACACGCTGAGCAATGTGCATCCACTCGCTGAGCCTCCATGACCCTAACAAGCCAGCCACTGTGAGCTCATTTTACAAGAAAGGAAACAGAGGCTCACTGAGTCTCAGTGACTGGTCCCTCGGGACATAGCCGAGTTCCCCCCAAGCTACAGGGAAGCGAAAGCCGCCCTTATGCACATGATTCGGATGCAGGGGTCCTAGGCACGAAGGGCTGCAGCTCCAAATCCTTAGCCAGCAAGAACGACTCTGAACAGAGTGGCTGACTTTAATTTCTCCTCAGATACATGCTGCTGGGACAGGCTAGGCGGACTCCAAGCACTACAGCCCCACCTTCAAATCTGGGAACTCCGTGCCTCCTCTGAAGCAAGTTTTAAGCTTCCTCAGCAATCACGCCATCTTTGGGAGTAAAAGAAACCCTCCCCCGCCAGAGGGTCGCCAGCTCTGCAGAGGCCCCAGTCCTCTGCCAACACAGGCCTCATCAATAATGAAGCAGATCCACAGCTGCTTACGAGGCCAGGAAATTGCTGCTGTTCATCAGGTTCAAATAATCAAATCTGTGCCTCAGTGCATCCGATCCCTTCCAGCAGGGAAAGCACTCGGAACTTTATGTCTTCCACTACACAGTCCAGCGTGGACTCAGTCTGATAAATCAGAACAAAGCAGCAAAGCAGCACTCCGTACA